CGGGGCATGTCAGCCGCTGCTGGGGACCGAAACGGGGCGGCAAGGCCTCCTACACACACGCTAATGAGGAAACGTGTGGGTTCGTGTGTGTGTGTGTTATTGCACTACCAGCACGACTATAGTACAAAAAGTGGCAGTGGCAGAAAGTGCAGTTTGCTGCGTTTTCCTGTTTCGTCAAATTGTTTTTTCTTAATTATTGTTTTCATATATGTGGAGAAGATACTGTTAAAATAACCACCGCTGAGGTATTCATGGTTGTAATTGCTGCATGAGTACTGCCCTCTGCCTCTTGGGCTTTAGCAGAGCCACTGCGAACCTGTGGGATCGAGCTGACCTCAAAGTGAAAAATGTTAAAGCAAGTAAAATTGCGGGCTCATCCAGCTGGCTCTGTTTTGTCCATGGATTTCATCACCCTGTCGCTGAATTTCCCGACAGTGAGATGCCAGTGCAACCAGTTTGAATGTTGCCTGTTGGCATGGTAGTCATGCCACTGGCATCTACAATGAAAATACGGCCTTTGTATTGTTTGCGTTTGTCAGGTGAGCAAGACTAATGCTCCATGCAAAGCTGTGCTAGCCTAGCAGTGTCTGAGGAGAGTGTTTTAATACATCCACACATACACACCCTTGTGTGGATGCAGAGAGTTCTTACTGTTTGTTTAAAATTCTTTGTGCATGTAGCTACATTTGTGCTGGTCAGTATATTGCATGTATATGGTCATATTGGTAAAAATCTAAAGTATAGAAGACACTTAAACTGTAATTGTATCACTTACTGCACTCGTATTACTTCCTTTACACAAAATTTTAAAGACTAATAAAAACTTACATAGGCATAACCAAAATAAGACTTTTTTATGTGAGTGTAAAATATGTGTAATTCAAGAGCTTGAGAACTGTAATCTTTATATCCCAGGCTGGTGGATGGGTGTGTTTGCATGTATCTTCTCCTGATGAGTGTGTCTCACCTAGTTGGCTAGTGACTGTGCCTGGTGTTCTTTATTAGGAGGAAAAAACCTAATCTGTTAAATAAGCCTGTTTCAAAGTTGCAATGTACATAATGGAGTTTTAACTTCAAGTTAAATGTCTGGTTAACTAGACTGGCAGAGATTTCTGGCGAAAAGGAAGAAAAAAATGTATGGCTTTGTTTTGTTCTGTTTCTCTTTACAAACATTAATTGAGGCTTAAATTATTACGGATCGTAGAAGTTGACTTCTATGGGATGATTGCCAGTGTAAGAACTTCGTATTTGTTTGAAAGCTTTCAGGGAATGTGAGCAATGTGTTGTATATGTTATTGAAAGCATTAGTGGGAAGGTTATGGCCACAGAGAGCTTACCTTAACATTTCTATAAAGTGTAAGTTTGAAATATGTCATAAGAATTGAGGGGTTTCTTGTTGTTGTTGTTTAACTTTGTTTTTGTTCAATTTCAGGGAAAGCTCAGGCAGAAGGTGGATCAGCTCGGACATCACTTCTTATTTTAGTGTCCATCTTCTTATCAGCTGCTTTCCTTATGTTCCTGGTATATAAAAATTTCCCAGAACTTAGTGAGTAAGTATGTCAGGAAAGATTAGTATGTTTGCTTTTCATTCAGGATCAAAATGCAGAGGAGCCTACATGCAGTTAAGTGATTTTTAAACTGACATGAGTTAATAATAGACATAACCTTGTTTTTTTAAAAGGCCATTTGAGTGTGTACAACCTCAAATGTCAGGATACAAAGCTTAACACTGAAATACTAACCGGTAGGATCTGTGTAAACAGAGTTGTACTTGACCTAGGGTTTCTGTTGCACAGTTGAGATACCGTGTTTTGAAAAGTTACCCCCTGTCCTACTAGCAATGGTAACTCACTATATTCTTAACCTTCTTCAGTTGAGAGCCAAAACTGCTTTGTTAGAACTAGGTTTATTTTAAAATTCCTCGTATACTGGTATAACTGCAGGCTGTCACCAAAAGGGGACATCCTTTTTCCTTCACATCTAGCTTCGTGTTTTCTTTTTCTCCTTTTCATTGCATCTAGTTCTTGTGTTGGGAAGGTAGGTAGTTTGCCAAGATGGGAGCCTGCTTGTCTGACAATTTTCTTTCTTTCTTTTAGTAGTTAATTTTCTGTCTGATTAACTTGCTCAACAAGTTCAGTTTGCAACAGTCCAATCACTAAGTCTGATACAGAGGAAGAGAGGACACTCAACTGTGCTGCCCAGGGTTGCACCAGATTAAGGTGTGACATGAGATTTTGCTCTTAAAGCTTTGTTTGTTCGTGAGGTAAAGCTGTACCACTCTTGCTGCCGTTCAAATGTTATGACCCTAATGTTGAGGCAGTTACAGTTATTTTTGGCTGAAATGTTGACTGCTGTTCAGTTGCCAGGGTTTAGTTTGAGTAATTACTTCTTTTTGATCAATACTTAGTAAGAAAAAAACCAAAACCCAAGAAATGAAGCTGATTATTGTAATGAATTAAAAAATGTGGTTTGCGAATAGGATTTTCTAATACAAAACGCACTGTAGATATTAAGTGTTCATCTGAGAACATTATCACAACAATAATCATGTGTGGTTTGTTTGCTGAGGTAGTTTAGTGATGTAGTGTATGTAATTATCTATGTATTTAATAAGTAATTTTACTATACTGTTGGATTATATTTACCACCATTGCTGCTTTTTTTTTTTTTCCTTCCAGAGAAGAAAGAGAATGTATAAAGGTTCCTAGAGATATGGATGATGCGAAGGACTTGGGAAAAGTCCTGTCCAAGTATAAGGACACATTTTATGTTCAAGTATTAGTGGCTTATTTTGCCACATATGTTTTGTATCCTTTATATAGATGGCTGTTTTGCTATAGTCATACCGCTCTGAAAAAGAAATGTAAAATATAAACTTATAAATTCTTCATCATGGGTGAAGAAGGCTAACATACCTATGTGTATTTATAAATAGACACAGGTATTCCAAAATCTTGGAACTTAAAAACACCTCTTAGGTGTTTCAGTATGCCTTCAGGACTGTAAGAAGGGATTGAGTAGAAGGAAATTGATGCATGCATGTATAGTGATAAATACTGTTGGCGATCTGCATGCACCTTCACCTTGGCTGTGTCTGTTATGGACAATATTATTAGTTTTGATATTAAACTTGGTCTCAGTGTTATGCTAACTTTTAAAGTTGCAAAATGAATCGCCAGTTAGAAATGACTGTTGATTCTAAAGGAAAACTGAAACTACTGCAGCGCTCTTCCTTGAGACATTCAAAAGTGGCATGTAAGCATAATTTACAGAATTTTTTACAACATTTCTGAAGGAAATTGTTTTGAGGCTTCTTTCATTTGCACTGCCCACATTCAAAAAATAAATCTCCATTTCCTGTTAGCGAGTTAAATTTCTGAGTACTTTCTGCCTGGGGAGACCCAAAGGCTACCTGTATTCTATGTTAACTTCTTTTCCTTGAGTGCTGAGTATATTAATTAATCATTAAACACACTCTTAACTGGAACACTTAACTAAAGGTTAATAACTTTTAAAAACTGTAGAAGAGATCTGTTTCATAGTTTAATGCAGGAGGCTTTTGCAGCTCAAAAATCGGTGCTGAATGTGCCATTAGTAATTAACCTCCAGTTCGTTCTTTCACCAATAACAGATTTATGAAGAAAATTTAGGTATTAGTTTATATATTAACAAGAAGTAGAACAGAATTGGCTGTTTGTTGAACTACTATAGCAGATGGTGTGATGACATTTATCATCTCAGCAGCAGTCTGATCAGTTAGACAAGCATGTTACAGTTATGTCGGAACCTTGACATTTGCTTAGAAAAAGCTGTACTGGTTGTAATAGACTTAATATCAAAAAGCCAAATAACATTCCTTAATATTTCGGTCAATTCAACTCAGATAAAATAGTGTGCAAATGTTTTATCTTTATAAGATTTCTGTCCAGAGTGCGTAGTACATCATAGTCTCAAGTATGCATAGCAAGCCTTAAGCTCAACAGCCTGGTCGCTTATGCTGCGGAAATTTAATTTTTGCCTTTTTGAAAAATTCTGACTGAAATTAGTGATCATGTACCTTAGTTATCTACTAATCGCACAATACCTATTTATAATGAAGTAGTAGTTGCCTTCATATGTGTCAGTCTTCCATGAAACTCATAGTAATTATGAGCTCGGACAGGAGTTCTGTGAACTTTTCAGAGAGAATGGCTGAAATCTGCATACCTCTAGTCAATAATGTAAAGTCAGAGGTATGTGTTTCCTGTAATGTCACAAGTACCAAGTGTCAATTGTAGCACAGATAAAGAGAAAAATGTGATAACAGCTTTTACATAGTGACTTATTTTTGTATGTGTAGTGATCAATCTACCCCTTGTTTCACTGTGCTTGGCCTTCTTGTGCTACTCTGCAAATGTATTTTGAAGTAAAGATCTTCAGAGGCTATGCCTATTTGTATTTATGCTTTTTCAAATTGTATTATGTATCGTGACTGCTTATAAAATTAAGAATTGGGTAGTTTTTAAAATTTTATTTTTCTCTTAACTAAGATACATCCAGCTTGCAAACATTTGCTATCCCTGGGTCTATATTTCTCAGTATCCTGTCAGGGTTTCTTTATCCCTTTCCACTCGCCTTATTTCTTGTTTGTCTAGTAAGTATGGAAAATAGTTTATGAGGGTGTATACGTCTATCCATTTGGAATACAACCAAGCATCTAAACAGCTTCCTATTTGAAATGATCAGTCTGAGTGAAGTAGCAGTGTGAATGAGTTCTCATTCAGCTCTGTTGTGAAAATGCCATTACCCACAAAATCCACCGTAGCACTGGGTGATGTTCTAAAAAGCTAAACTGTTAGTCTGAGTTTTCTTAATAAAGGAGGCAGCTGGGTGTGAATTAGCCAGTTTCCTTTTCTTTAAATTTGTCTAGCATCCACCACAGCCTGACTGTAATTTCAGAATATAATTATTACATTTTTATTATCACACTGCAAAATACATCTGAGTGGCTGAAATAGCTTTAAATAAGAAGCTTAAATTAAGATACGAAATGTATGTTATTGACAAGCTTCAAAAAATGTAATTTACAAAAGACGTAGTCATAATGAGCCTTAGTATTTATGAATGAGATAATTAGGTAGGTTTGGAGGCCCAAGTTTATGAATTCTGAAGTTTGAATGTCTTTAATGGCAATGTGGCTCTTATTTGCAAAGCTTTCACGGTTCAAAATCTTAAAATAAAACTGCAGAAGCACTCAGTATTAACTGATAAATAATCAACATTGTCTACTTTGAATGTTAAGATTGATCTAAAAGCCTTGGAATTAAAGGAACTGTGTTGGGTCAACAACATCCTATGATAGAGTGTGTACATACTGCTGAAGGATAGCTCTTCAGCCTCGATGGAGGGACACATAGAAGGCTCTATCCAGCCCGTGTAGTTAATAGGGATATAAGGCTAAGATTAGAGTTTCTGCTCATTTGTTCTTTTTTTTTTTTTTTTTTTTTTTTCCCCCCCCGGTGTCCGGGCTCTGGCGTTTTTTTTTTTTTTTTTTTTCCCCCCAGTGCTCAGGACTCGGAGCTTCATTCTGCTATATGCTTTCATACCTAGTGGGACGCCCTGTTATATACAGATATTTAACAGAAAAAGCAGTAAAATGGTCAGAACAGGTAAAGTTTCTAGAGTTGCTGAAACTTACGATAGAAAATGTGTAGTGCAATGGCATGGAAAACTAGGGGGTCTTGTGTATCTAGCTACAAAGAAAGCATTCCGACTCCTTTCTGACACTGTGGAGCTACTTTCTCTGGGTGTTTTTAAACAGTGGGGAGTATTCCTGAATTTATCTTTTTTCCTGTGAGCTGTTTTTACCTAGGAAGAGTTTGCAATGAAAACCCACCTGGTTTAGCTAATGTCAATAGGAAATCTCTCCAGTTTCAACTGAAAGTAATAGCTCTATAAGCATCAGAACTAATGAAAGCTGGGTTTGTGGGTTTTATATGGGAAGAAAACCCGTGGCTGTATGTCTGATTGCAAAACTTCAGTTTGAAGATGTTACTGTGGTTGGACCATTTAGAAGCTTTCTCTTACACTATTTGGTAACATTAGTTTCAGCAAGTGTTAATCATCAGATGAAGTTAAAGATTTTGCAATACAAAATCATGATGTGATTAGTATTTGACCTCATGTCTCTTGCTTTGATACTCTGAAACATATTTGAACAAGTATTAAATGCAACTTAGTACTGTACTCTGTTCAAGGTGTTTGAATCGCATAAAATTATTTTAAACTTGTTCCTCATTAGGTAAGATGTGGAGCTGTGTCCATATTAATTGACCTTGTTAAAGACTACAGTAGTATTTTGACTCTTGAGCCAAGTAAATTTTAATATCGTGGTATAATCTTGAGGCTATTCTCTGAGAGGCAAATGGTTACTATTTCTATTAGTAGAACTGAGTATGTGATTTAAAATTATGCCATTACATGTGCAGCTCATCTCATTATTTCCAGGTTAATTGGACTATACTGTTCTTGCATTTTGAGGGCTAAGACGTTTTATGTGCAGGATTAATCAATGTTTATGTATTTGTCCTTCAGTGAGATTAAAAAAACCCACAGTGGTATTACTGAACAATAGCAGGGCTATTGGCTTTAGTGTTGCAGTTGAAGCTAAAGTTGTCTGAGAGAAGAAACAGGATTGTGACTGGGGCTGGTACAGGAGATTTCAGATGGAATTGCAATCAGACCAGGTTTTATTTCAACTGTTTGGGGCCAGATGACCATGTTTATGCTTAGTGAAGGTCTGCCAGGGTAGGCCAGAAGTGGTGGATGCTTTGCTAACCTTATGGTTTGATTTGAGGTTACAGTTCTTCTTTAAAAGGGCTGATGTGCTAAAGCCAGCCTGGAAGGAGAAGAGGCTTTCATGTAGTACTAGTGTAAGGATCTGAGATAGACTTGAGAATATAATGAAGACTGTAAATAAAGTTGGGGCTGTTGTGGTAATGGGTAACGTTAATGCTAGGCATTGTAAGGTATTGGTAGATGGGTTTAGCGACTGTGCTGACAGCAGCCACCTGATGAACTTCAGAGACATGACCTGGGTAAGTTTCCAAGTGAGGAATACAGCTATGTTTCAGGTTTGATCATGAGTTAGGACAGAATGGGCTGAGGAACAAACTTCGTTGCTAGTTCCTGCAGAAGCTTTAGGAATAGGATGACGAGCTGGCTGTGTTGATTGGGTTGGTTAGTTAGGCAGAGGTTGCTGTGCTAAAGTTAGTTAGGCCTGCTGCTGTACCAGATTTCTTGTTTGCTGTTTTAAGTTGGCTGATTCAGACACATCATCATCATGCTCTACCACAGACTGGTATTTCCAGACTAACTTCAGTACTATTTAACAGGTGATCACTGATGTACTTCCTTGAGTCACTTACTGTTTAACTGATTTTTATGTTTGCAACTTGTAAATTTCTACAAAAGATGCATAAAAACCCCTAACAAACCTCTAGTAGTAAAATCATTGTGTATTTTCAAGGGAGGGATTTTTTTACTGAATTTTTTTTGTTTTATTTTGGCAGGTTGAAAGGCACAGAGAACACCTCATTAACTACATAATATTTTTGAGAATAACACCTTTTCTTCCCAATTGGTTTATCAATATAACATCTCCTGTAATTAATGTGCCATTGAAAGTATTTTTCATTGGGACTTTTCTAGGTAAGAATTCTGGCTAGTGAACTGCAGTTTGGGGTGGCCAGAAGAAGGGGTAGTATTTGTGTCTTCTCTGTATGTGTTGTTCAGCAGAGATCACCACCTACTGGTTAGCTGAAAGATTACACACGAACATTGTTTTTGTACTTTTTGATATATGGAGCTTGTAGCATCAAAACATTTTAGTAGTCAGGACTGTTGTGATGTACTAGGTGAGACATAATGAGCCCAGGTAATTACTTGCTTAAGGAAACATGCATTATATTAACACTTTATCAGTAACTTTTTGTTCCACTTCATGACTATAATACTTCTGTGAACTTCTATAAGCTCCTATTTTAGGCTCAGCGTAATTGTGTGAGGATGTGTGTGACTTTGGTCTGAAGGATTGCTTCTCCCCTTCTCACTTCATTTTGTTCATCATGATATATCTTCCTAGGAGCGAATGAATACTGTAACTAATGTACTGCTAAACACTTTAGTTTTCTAATTTTGTGTATTTTTGCCAATACTTTGAAATCTGGTTAGGAAACAATCCATATTTTTCCTTTATGAATGTAAATAAGATCTGTTTGTAGAGAAACAGCTTGAAATCTGCGGAGTCTAAAGAGCAGAGATTATTTTCTGTGTTTGAGTTGGTGTTAAAAATGCTAACAGTGGTATAAAACCAGTTATTCTGATAAGAATTTTTTGTCTTTGAATTCTGTATTTGTACTCCTCTTTACAAAGAAAAAAGTGCAAGGCAACAAAGTCTGAAATTTTTGGTGTTAAAAGTTGGAGGACTAATTTATGGTGCTTTTTCATTTTTTCACCCTAACAAGTTTGTTTTTCTTCCTTTGCCCTCGTATGCTTTTCATTTCCTGCTCCAGGTGTGGCACCGCCGTCTTTTGTAGCCATTAAGGCAGGAACAACGCTGTACCAACTTACAACAGCAGGGGAAGCAGTTTCCTGGAACTCTGTATTTGTTCTCATGATTCTAGCCATCCTCTCCATCATACCCACTGTCTTCCAAAAGAAACTGAAACAGAAGTTTGAATAAGGATCAGACTGGACCAGAATTTCCCATATTTCATCTCAGGATCAGCACTTTGGATATTTGTATATTTGATCTCAAGCAATTAAAAGGGAGGCTTGTAATTCATAAGAATGTCTTTAAATGAACACATGGCCTAAAATAGAAGGAACTGGGTTCAGAAATGTACTGCATATGGTTTCGTAATCAAACCATCCGTGTTTTACTTTGGGAGGGTGTGTGTGGGGTCCTCAGGATGAAGAAAGTGAAAACACAGATGTAACCCTTTTCTCTGATTATCTGTAGAGCAAAAATTTTAATGTAGATATAAACTACAGATAACGCTTTCTAAAACTTGTAGGAAAGAAACCTTGATTATTCAGTCCAGTTTTGTAACATTCTCTGTAGGCTTGAATGTGATCTGGTCTCAGTACATTTCTCATCAGCAATTTTTTTTTTTTTTTTTTCCTCTTGGAGTTCCAAAATAATAGCATAATATAATAATGGCGGTCACTCAAACAAATGTTTTTCACAGTACTTTAACTACAATGATGCACTCATCCTGATTGTGTACTTCTATTTATTAGTGCTGTGTGGATTTAAATACTTGAATCTATAGCTGCTTTACTAACTGGATTAACAAAGTCAAAGTGTCACATCATTCCCTCTTGTCCTCTGCAAAGTTTTATCTTTGTGAGAGGATATAGGAAGGGAGAGAGTAGGTTAGAATTTTTATCGCGGCTGGCTGATGATTTTGAAGTTCTAATTTTAATTTTTTAATGCTGATTCTTTTGCCAATATTTCACTTGCATAGATTTAACCTGCCAATTTAAGAAAATGATTGTATGATTATAAAAAAAACTCTCAGTTCTTCAGTGCTTTAAAAATATGTAACTTTAAGCAGTGTGATATTCACTTATCAATATCTATTTCTCAAGCAATATGTAAAGAGTATAAAATTTTCCATTGCAGCTCAATTAGCTAGAAATGTCAGGTACACAAATTGGTGCAATTTGTATTAAAGAGCTGATTCCAAATAATATTCAAAGCATTATGTAACAGAAGGTTCATGTGTCCATGTATATAAAATCAAAAGGATGATTCCATTGTCTAGTAAGTCATAACTGGCAATGGGCAACCAGCTATAATTAATTCACCTTTAAGTAGAAGTATATATATTCATTCAATAAGGTATATGTTACCTCCCCTTGTGTGCTTATAACTGTTGTAGTTTGTATTGTCAGTGGAATCCCATAAAATGAGGCCCTGATCAGCAAGGAACTGGGTTGTACATTTAAGTTGTTGGGTGTTTTTTTTTTTTTCCTACTGAAACCAGTGCTGTGTACATGCTTTAAGTTGGTGCCCCTGAAGTATCTTGCTGAAATGGGAATCAATACATTAGCATATGCTCCAATTCAAGGGTTTATTTGTATCCTCATATTAACTCATCATATGATAGATCATTGGGATGTGAGAGAACAGTTCCGTAAATGTGATAATATGAAAGGTACTGGTACCCTTAAGGAGTTTTCTTCTTTTTGTAACAATGTTAATTGACTCCTCCGTTTCATCACAGTATTACTTGTAAGTATTAGTGATACACTATTTGTCTTTTATTTAAATCTGGGCTGCACAGTAAATGCTACTTTTTACATAGGTAAATAAAGGAATTCATATCACTTCTGTTTGCAAGCTTATTGTAAGATCATTTAGCTTCAGCACTCATTTTGTTATTTAGAATTTACTCTAAAAGTGTACTTTATTGGCATTTAAAACTGAACAGTGATTATGTTTATTGCTGCAGCTCTAATCTCAGAGGTTACCTACACAGGGGATTTATTCCATGGTAAACTTGAGTGTAAATTTAGCTGTTGTGAGCAAGTGTCCCATGGACTATTGAATGTGAAGTTGCTGTAGACTTACAGCCTACTTTTCTGTGTAGTTAATTTTTCAAGCAGATGAACTCTCAGAATAAATTACCTACTACTTACTGTCCAGTGGCTTTTCTCAATATTTGTCTCAATTTCTGGTCAATAACAGATGCTGTTGTAAAATCCCTTGTATGCTGTATAAAGCCAGTGTTTTGGTGGAATCTTGACACTACAGAAGGAACTGAAATATTTTTCAATTTAATGTCAATCATGCTATCACTGAGTTATATTTCACTGTGTAGATGGGTTCAGGCTATGCTACTGAAAAACCTGTTGTGTTTCAGCGACAGACTGGGTTCTCACCACAGTGGCTAGAAGCCTTAGGACCTTAAGAAAGTAGAAACTATGGATATTTCCCTTTGCAAAACTTAGTGTGTTTTTTAACCTGTCCCCTCTGCATTCAAGTTCAGCAGCCAACAGCCTCAGGCAGTTTCCTGCCCTGAGGACTACTTCTGAGGGGTGTGAAGAGTAAGAAAGGCCTTGTGAAAAAGGAAAAAAAGCACTGTGCTGTGGATTATTGTACTAGCCTACCCTTTCCTTTAGGGAATCTAGCAAGTCATCCAAGAGATAGCTGTAATGTTTTGACAGGAAAACAGTGTCTACCATGAAACAAACTGGGAAATCAGGAAGATACAGCTTTTTTTCTTAGTTGGAAGGAATTTTGAGCTGTGACATGTTTATCTTTTGCAACTTTTTGTGATACCTGCATGATATCATTACTAAATGTCTCTTGCCATTTGATAGGAAAGCTATTACATAAAACACTGTATTTTTTAATACAATGAAGCATGCTGAACTTCCCGCTAAGCTTAATATTTTATTAAACTGTTTAAAATGGATGAGTTCTTCTTAAACAGTATTTTTAAGGACTGATGAAAAATTAAACTGAGCTGATTACATCTGTAGATGAGATTCCTTCTGTTTCTACCTTTATTTCAGAACATCTAGGTAAACTTGACATACTTTTCCACCTGAAGTGAATTTCTTATGTACAGCAGCAATTTTGAAAAGCTTTTATGTTTTGCATTGGAAAGCAATTGGGTCTAACTTGTTTTATCTCCTTAAACAGAACTATTTGCATGACTTGTTTTTGGTTTTGTTTTTTTTTTTTTTTTCCATGAATTCCTGATGAAGGCTTATGTGCTAAAGTTGTTGTTATAGCTTCATTCATCTTCCCTTAATGTTCTGTTATGTCCAGTTTATGGAATTATTTTTTTGCCTTGTATAGAAAGCTGATGTTGAAAGTTTGCTGAAAGGTTAAGACAGAAGAAATAAAAAATGACAAGTTTTTCTTTAAAATGTTAGTGAACTATACTATCACACAAAGTCAAAATATGGTTTTATTGTCAGGTAATATTGAAGATTTTTGTGTGCTGTTCCTGAGAATATTCATCATGTATAGTTTCTGTGATAACACAGTTTTATGATAGTAACTAAAATGCAACATGGATTGCTCTGCTTTGCATTAGAACTGAAGTATGCTGCCTGTCTCAAACCATACAGTTTACTCTGGATTAAACTGAACTACCAGCAGAATTGACTGAACCAGGTAGCTGATGGACTGAAACACCCAGCAGCTACTGCAGGTGCATTTTTACAAATGTAAGGACTAACTGAAGTAGAAGCCTTTGTGAGAGCTGTTGCTGCAGGAATGAAATTTGTACCTCTAGTGTTTTGCACTGGAAATACATTACGAAGGAAGAAAACAGGAAATGCATTTCTTTGTTGTTAGTCACACATATTCTTTTTTTTTCTTTCATTCCTGTAAGTAATAACAGTGGAGTAATAACTCTGGGAATTGTGAGAGCTAAAGAACTGAGAAGCATACCTTCTAGCGAAATTCCTCCATTCAAAATTATGTTCAGCACAGTAAAGAAATCTTGTCCCAGGAGTGCCGTTTGAGTGCCTGTCCATTCCTTAGCACCAACCACAAAGCCAGTGCCAGAAAGGGGAAGTCTCACTGTCCCTCAAGGTTACAGTGAACTATTTTTCATAATGCGGGACAATCTCCTTTGTATGGTTACAAAATAGGGGGGCTTTTTTTTTTCCCAGGAGGCTGAAAAGAATGCAGGTCAAATTACAGAAAGCTTTCCTTCTGTCATAAATTGTGGTTTGTGAACCATATATTTTAGTGTGACAGTGTTGAGAGGGAAATTAAAAGTTTTGACAGGAGAGTAGGATACAGAGTGAGCTCTTCAAATTTACCTCAAAGAGAAGTTAGATTATTTTCATGACTAATCGATGTCTTGCAATGACACACAGTTCTATCTAACTCTTAGCTGGTGGCTTTATAGCTCCAGGCCACCCAGACTGAAAGAAGTTACAGCCTTTTAATATTGGCAATTAATAAAAGCATAATAATTTTACTAACATACCTTAACTTCCTTTCCTCTTAAAAATATTCGACCTAGTGTAATAATTTGTTTCGTTATTTTGTTGTACACAAGGAAGAATCTGGGTCTGGATTATCAGAGCCAAGATCAGTGACTGATTGTATAACTATGCGAGAGGCCCCAGAAAAGTTCCTTTCTGTAGATAATCTTCAAAACGCAGAGAATTCTGCTTCTGCACATCTCTCAGACTTCAATTATATCTTCATACCCTTAAAAGGTTAGTAGACACAAGGTTAATAGGTTCTGGAGAGGACTGTGCCATAGTGGCAAATAGCTTTTAAAATTCTGCATTGGAACCAAGATCTAATGTTATGGTTATAACTCCTGATTTCTCTTTCATAGCCTAGCACTTGAACAGTTTTATGTGGGAAACCATGTAACTTGAGACACAACAGCACTGTCTCATGACCCTGAAGGATCAGCGCATCCTGTGCCTCCCTTCTCTGTTCTCACGAGATAAGCTGTTTTCACACATCCAGCTGCAAAAGATCCTGGAAAACAGCAACCATGAACTGGCATTCGCAAAGCCACGCATCCAAAGCTGATTGGCTCTAGTAACTATTGTATTAGTATATAAGGTATTCACTTGAGCAATAAAATGATTCTGATCGAGCACAAGATTGGGGTCTATGAAGTCATTCACCACAGTTGTATCCAATAATCTGGAATTTGTGTTTACTGTACTTGGAAGAGTTCCATGCTGTGAATTAGTGATCTGCTCAAAACACTTTATCATTCTCATATTTGACTATTTGTTCTGTGTTCAAATGATTTCTCGGGGGGAATATCCCCAGGGCGGGGGTTGGAAAGACAGAGCCC